TACAAACCCAAAACCTAAAGCAAAATGAAGTAATGGGTGTTTGTCATAAGCAAACAAATAAATAAGGTCTCATAGGAAAAGAATTTTGAGAGTACTTGGATAAGTGAGACTTTTCTGTGAATAGACTTATTTTAGATTTTTGTTAGATCTTTGAACTAAAAACGTTCAAGATAATTTAATGACATCAGAACAATTAACCGAAGCATTAAATAAACTACAACCTGTACCAATTGAAGAAACTCATTGTGTTGAAGAATTTATTGAACACTACAAACCTAAAGAGGATAACAAAAATTGTATAGTATTACAAACTACAGAAGGAAACAAAATTATATTAGTTCGTGATGTATTAACTATTATTGATATTTTGAGTGAATTTCCTTTCAACAAAACTTTTTGGTGTTCGTCTTTGTTTTATCCTGTAGAATTTCATGAAGATAAGATATTTGAATGTTTAACTGCTAAGTTATTAACTCATCCAAGTAATACATTATTGTTAGCATTACAAAGTTGGGTTGAAGAGTGTGGAGTTGAATTCACAGAGAAGTCATTGAATATTATCAAAGATGTACTTGACTATGTAGAGAAAGTAAATGGAGAAACGTTGAACGAAAGTATTGAAAAAGTGAAAAAAACTCTTTCAAATACTCATAGTAATGAAAATGAACCTACTTTTCAAATGAAATTTGATCCAGCACCTATTTCTATTGATGGGAGGTCAATGAAATTACCTGATTGGATGGCACCATCTAGTTATTCAGTAACAATCTTAAATAAAGATTTCTTAGAAATTGCAAATCAATTAATGATTTGTGAATTTTCATTCTTAGAGTTACTACAACCAAAGGATTATTATATTAACATTTTTTCAACAACTAGACCAAATTCTAATATTGAATTATATTATAAATGGAATCAAAAAATTACTAATTGGGTTGCTTATTCTATAATTAATCAAAAAAATGAAATGATTAGAGAAATGGCATTCAAAAATTTCCTTCAATTGGCAATTAAATGTATTGAAATTAAGAACTTTAATTCATTTAATTCTATTGTTAATGGGTTGACTCATTATGCAGTAGTTCGTATGAAAAAAACTGTAGCACAAAGGACACAAGAAGAAAATGAATTAATGTTTAAATTAATAGATATTCAAGGAGAAATTCAAAATTCAAATTACAGTATTTCATATGGTAAACCTGCTATTCCTTATTTAAAATTTTTCTTAAAAGAAATGAGTCAAATTTTTGAAGAAGAAGAAGAAATAGATGATACAAAAGAAAACATACTTCAAGAAGATGAAATGAATAAAATGATTGATATATCTAAAGCTTTTAAAATTGGTGAACTTATTAGCCAGTTAAAAGGATTTACTATTGAAAAATGTACAACCCAAGTCAATAAACAAACAAATGATTTCTTTATGAATGGGATTAGAACAATGAAGTTAAGTAACACAGATTTATTGAATTTGTCTATGGCAAGTGAACCAAATAATTAATTTTTTGGTTCATTGATGTTTATCTTTAGTTTAAATAACAATTCAAAACAATAATAATCAAACACAATATCAATGATAAAATATGAAAGAAATGAATATTAGAATATAAAGAACAAAGAAGTTCTGATATTTGGTATATCCATTAATTAGCGACTTGTTTAATTAGATCTAATAAAGGTTGTGGAGATGGAGGGGATTGTGCTACAATAAAAGGATGCCATAATAATGTTACAGCATCTGGTCTTTGATTATAATCAATAATAAGACATTGTGCAACAAAATCAACCAATTGAGTTGTCCACAACTTTGGATTTTTAAAAGAAGGAGGTTTATTTTCAATGACAGTAAGTAATTGGTCAAAACTAGTGACATGTCTATTTGGTGGATTTCCTTCTGCCATTTCAATAACAGTAATTCCTAAAGACCAAATATCTGTTTTATTATTATAGAAAGATTTTTTAATGACTTCAGGTGACATAAATAAAGGACTTCCAATAAAGTCTTCTGCTTTCTTATTTTCATTCTCTTTATATTGTTGAGATACACCAAAATCAGCTAATTTTACTTTACCTTCATTTGTAAGTAAAATATTTCCAGCTTTAATATCATGATGGATAATTTTAATACTATGAAGATAAACTAATCCTTTTAATGTTTCATTTAATACATAACGAAGTTGTTGTTCATTTAAATTTTCCATTGTTTTCTTCATAAGATCTTTAACACTTCCAACACCACACATATCCATAAGAATCCATAATGTATTTTCATCTATTTTAATAGTTCCATAATAACTTACAACATTAGGTGATCTACATTTTTTTAATATATCAATTTCACTTTTTAATGCATCAGTTTGTTGTTTATTAACAGTTAAAATTTTAATAGCCATTTCAAAGTTTGATTGTCTATGAACTGCATGATAAACTGTTCCAAAACTTCCTGTTCCAAGTACTTCTTTTAAACAGAATATTTCATTTGGATCAGAACCAGAAGTATCCCATTCTAAATCAAATGTAACATGTTGAAGATGTTGAACATTAGTTGGTGCACCAGTACATTCTCTTTGAATTAAATCAGCCCAAATTGTTAATTCTTTATTATCATTTGAAGTAAATTGATATTCACCTTCACTTGTTTTAATTTCAATGATATTTTCTCCTTTATTTGTATGTGTTAAATGAACTCTAGCAAGTAAAAGATCAAAACAACCAAAAGGTATATTTTTATCATTTTCTGGTTTACAATTAAAATAAAATAATTTATTTTTTGTTAATATACACCATCTTTTCTTTTTTGTTTGCATTTTCTTTAATTTTTCTTTAAAAAGAAATCCTTCTTTAACAATATTCTTTTTATCTTTATATTCATCAGTAATAAATGAATCTACATAAATATTTCTTCCCATAATCTTAACAGTATCAGTAAGCATTGATTTCCATTTTTCATATTCTGTTGATGTATTAAATCTAATAGATTTTCTATTATTTAAATGAACAAATGTAAACTCTTTTTCTGCTGCAACTGTTAAAACTTTTGATTCATGAATATAAAATTCAAATAAACTTTCTGATTCAGCAGGTGAATCAAAACAAAAAATAGTACCTGAATTCATCATTAACCATGCTTTTTTTGTTTTATTAATTGTAACAATACTAAAATCAGTAGATTCTTGAATCATTTTCATTGCAACTGTACTAATTAAACATGTTTGATGTTCTATAAGAACTTTTCTCCAACTAATATATTCTTCTTCACTTTCACAACTAAAATGATAACAATCAGGTTTGTTTTCATATTGAAAAACAAATTGTTTTTCTCCATCACTTCCTAAAAACTGAATATATGTATCTTTTAGTTGCATTTTTCCAATTGGAATTTCATCTTTAGGATTATTATAATAAAATAAAAATCCTCTACATAAAACAACCCATCTTCTTTTCCATCCACTAACTTTAGATACTTTCTTTTTTAATAAAAATCCTACTTTTTCACTATTTAAATATATTTGATGATAATCTTTTTCATGTGGTACTACTCTTGATAATCTTGCCATAGCCATTGGTTTATTAAATGCTTTAATTTCAATTTCATCTCCATCATCAATTCCATAAAAATCAATTCCATTATTTTCTACTAATCTAATTCCATCATTAAAACAACTAAATTCATATTTCTTCTGTTCATTTGTTAATCCTCCTTTAATTTGTGCTAAAATATCTCCAATTTTAGTATTTTTAGTTACTTGTTTATCAAACCTTAGTGTATGACTATCTATCATTAATACAACTTTAATTAATAATGGTTTAGGAGGTTCACTCATGTAATTTCTG